TCTGTATGCATACATTATTTTAAAAACAGAGAATAAGTAAATAAGAATATTTTTTTCTTTTTATATATTCCCTCTTTTTTCCATCATCGAAGGGGACTAGATACATAAAAACTATTTAAATAAAAATTGATTTAAGATATCCGACTACGTTCAGAACCGTGATTTTAAAAAAGCGCATAAATGGATAATTTTTATGATATTTAGTGACCCTTAGATTAGAAAATGTACATAAAATTGTTTTAAAAATAGTATTACAATAAAGAATTACTTAAATACAATATTTTGGCAAGAAATTAACTCAGAATAACCTTTTTTCAAAACGTTCTCATTTTATAAGAAATGCTTCCATAACAATAATATTTTGTTTATATAAAGTAAAACCTTCTGTCTCTCCAGAGAGTCTGAACTAGGATTTTTGAAAAAAATTCACATTATTTTCAGAGTTACCACCAATTGAAATAATTATCGGGGTTTTTTTTTTTTTTTTAAATTTCTCCCTTCTGTTGTTGTAAGATATGGATAAATCCACTTCTAAGTTATACATTTCAAAAATTCTAGTTGAGACTCTGTACAGATGTCTGAGATATATACAGGCAAAATATTATTATAATAGAAGCATTTTTCATAAAAGGAGAATGTTTTAAAAATAGATCATTCATTCTATGTACATTTTTTTTCAAAATATTGCTCATAAATAGTTTTTTATTGTAATAATATTCTTAAAACAACTTTATATACGTTTTCTAATCTTAGTGACTCTAAATTTCATAAATATTATCCATTTATAAGCTTTTGTAAAATCGCGGTTCCGAACGTAGTTGAATACCTTAAGTAATATAGAAAAAGATTGATACATTTTTTCTCGAACTTTTGTTAATTAATTAGTATTACTGGTTTTACTTCTTTCCCTTCGTACTTGTTTCTGATCTTACCTTCGTGGCCACTGAAGTCTTATTCTCTGGTTATCTTCTAGTTAAAAAAATAAATACCTATTATTTATATTTTATCATGAAGCATGATAGACTGATCAGCTTCATCTGATCAACTGTGGTCCGTGGACTTCCGGGAGTCCACAGTGTTTATCTAGGGGGTCCACGAAGACCTATGATTTAAGGTATCGGACTACTTGCGACAATTTTTTTAAAAAATTGAGACTTTTTTTTTTTTTTTAGATTTGATTAGTACATCTTAAGAAAATTATGCTAAAATTAAAAACAGGAAAAAAAATTATTGTTACTAAAATGGGAAAAAGTTCGTAAGAAATTTACAAAAAATAACATAAATGGGGCCCATTCTGTACCAAAAGTTTATGAACAAATTTTCACTTTTTCAATTCTGATGTATTACTATGTTATTTATTTTTTAATGACCTTCAGGATAAGAGATGTTTTAATTTTTACAAAAACTGGAGCACTTTATATTGGTTATTATATGAAATTGCTTCAAAAAACAGTGATTATATTCACATAACGGACTGTAAATTTTGTAATAAAACAGTGATTGATGATAAATCTGAAGATTAAAACATTTCTACTATTATACCGAACATACACAAAAAATTTCAGTTAGTTATTTTCAAAACTTTTTTTTTTAGCAACCGCTGTCCCCGTTTGAGAATTTTCAAAAAAAAAACACATTTCGAGTAAAACGCATTTTAATGTATGACATCTTGCTTAAAGTAATGTCATCTGCATTTACTAAAGCCCTTGTAGTTTTTGTTCTAGTGAACGGAAAAAAATAAACTTGGTATTTTTGCAAAGCTAATAAAATTACCTATAAAATTAAATCATAAAAAATGTGTCGATTTAAGGCAAAATTCACAATTTTATTGTAATCGGGATACGTTAATGTTAAAATTTTCCCCTTTTATAAACTTTGATAAGCCTCGTGGAACAATTTTGAAAGACGTGCCACTTCATAGACTACAAATTCTATATTGCACCCCCAATGAAAACACTCAACAAGAACATGAATTTCGATCAAGAATGGCATCAGTATTTTAATAATTTGCAACTAAGTAGCCATTATTACTACTTAATGTGTTTAAAAAAATGTAGAAATACATGTACAAAGATTAAGAACTGAATTCATAGTGCGCCAATACGATAACGATTGCCCCTCCATCCCATAGAGTAGAACCGGAATTAAGTTGGCAGATTTCAAATGTTACACCTAATGTAGTATAACTCAGTGTTTCTCAAACTATCAATATGCGCGACCCAATATTGAATCATCTTTTTTATCGCCCCCTCCATACAATAACAATGCATTGAATTTAATAATACTATACTTTGTGACACTAAAGCTACAATACTACTTTACCCTCTTATATGCCACCGACGTATATAAACGTCTCACTCTGCCAAAACATTAATTATCAGGACGTATATATACGTCTTCCCAAAGTAAGATCTTTTCTGTGCACTGCTGTCCATAAAATTATTCCGAAGGCTTTGGAATGCAATTAAAGTACCTTGACAGTATTTGGAAAGGATTTATATTCATTTCAGAGGATTTGCTTATTTATTCCTTTTCTCCTTCCTCTCCCCAAAAAAACATCAAAATAGGCGCGCCCACGTGGAAAACGGTGGCAATGGGGAGCGAATCGCGTAACTTTAAATCGGCAGTTAAGGAATTTATTATAAACCGTAAAAATTATCAAGATAAATGAAAATACAAGCCCATAAGGTCACTGTTAATTATCAAACTTGCTCTCAACTGAATATTGTTAAATTAATAATGAAATACATTGTAAAGTACTGATATATTTATAAGTATATTATATCAGTGTTAATGTGTATTTTATATTTTATTACATCAAAAAGAATTTTATTTGTTTATTCTCAGTAAATTTATAATTTTTTGAATAATATTTTGTTTTCGACTTTTCAATTTGCTCGCGCCCCCTCATCACGCCCCCTCAAGGAGGGCGCGCCTCACAGTTTGAGAAACTCTGGAAAAACTTGTAATAGGAATGCTGCACCATCTCCTTCTCATTAAACATATCAGTTAATACAGTTAAGGGGACTTGGTACCCTAAAAATCACAAATCTATCGTTTTTTTTTTTATTTTCATTTAATCTTATTCTTTGCATTATTATCTTTCGATTGATATATCACTTGTGCATGTCGGAAAGTTAGAAGTTGAATAAAACTTCATTTGAAAACAAATTAGGCAATTCAGCCACACCCCTTTTAGAAAAAAAAAAAAAAAATGCGTTATGATAAAAAAAAATCTATTTTATAAATAGAAATAATAACTATAAAAAAGAATGTGTAGTATTAAAAGCAGAATATTTCTGAGGCAATACAATAATGTAATTTTTCTTCCTTGTGAAATGTGTGCATCTAAAATTTTTAAATTAAGGCATTTTATATTAATAATTTTATAATTTCAGTTCTTCTACCTGATATATTTTTCATACAAATGTAATACTTTAATATTATAAGAAGAAAAACAGCTAAAATTTCTGTCGTGACAGAAAAAAAATTTTTAAAGTTTTTCTTGAGTTTTCTTGTGCAATTATATAGTACTCTCTAAAAGTTGATCATTTATAAAAATGTGTGGGTTGAAAATATATGAAAATGCAATTATTTTAAAGAAAAACGTATAAGTAATATCTTAAAAAGTGGTATTTTAACTTTAATTAAGCTTATAATAATTATTTTTTCAGAATTATAAACTTTAAAGTGGTTTTTCTCAGTTTGTGTTTTTCGAAACCTTAGTGCATTCAAAATGCTACTCCTTCGACAATTATTTACCAATCACTTCAATTTTTTTCCTGCGTGTTAAAAATAAAGCATGTAATAAAATTAGGGATCCGTTTTGCTATAAACTGAATATTTTTTTTAAAAAAAATAAAATGTAAGACATGTTGGCTTTTTCGTTGATTTTTAGCCTGTATATCAACATCTTATTTTTTTTCTCTCGAAAACGAATGAAGTTATTCTAAAATTGATCCCTAAAGTTGTTAAGAATATCCTTAAGAATATTATAAAAAAAATTCAGGTCAAAAAATTAATTTTTACAAAAGGAGTAGAATTTTAAAATTTTCCCAATTTTCTTCAAAAAATTTAAATTTTTAAAATTGTAAAATAATATATGAAAATTTTCATCTGGTAACATTTTCTTGAATAGAAACATTGTATAAAATGTTAAAATATAATTTTTAAATACGTAAATAAAGAAGTTTGCTGAAAGGGTGCCAAGTCCCCTTAAATACATTATACATTTATTTTAAATTAGTATTTTGTAATATTTTTAATTCGATGTTTACTGTTTTCTTAAATATAATATATGTAGCAGAGGCAGTCTTATAGGATTATTGAAGAACTTTTAAATCACTCAGCCACGTGCTAGGAGTCAGGGAAAGGTGTTCAAAATCTTGGGGGTCCGCGATATCAAGTTGATAAACACTATCAAAAGTTTAAGTGAGTGAGTGAATATTAACGTCACACTGGCAGCTACACGAAGGCTTTTGGCGACGCACCACATAATTTTGAACCATGGCCAAGTGACGTGGATGACATCTGAGCTGGCACCCCCTCTCCTAACTACCACACCAACGGGAGGACGTTTCAGCTCTCAACAGATTTAACGTGCATCGCTGTTCTACACGGCGGGTCTTTAGTTGTACTGGGCTCGAACTCATGACATGCCTGCCATGATCCGATACCTTGACCGCTGGGCTGCCGCAGCCCTATCAGAAGTTTAAGAATCGCTGAGTTAAATGAATTAAATGTGCATCGTTATTATAAACAAAACAAGTAAAATAAAAAAAATTAGGTCAATTCCTACTTAGGCCAACAAAGAAATATTTTATTTTAGTTACTTTTTATTAAAGAGTTACAATTAATATAAAAATGTTTATACATATGACAGAATTACAACATTAAGAGGCAAAATAGAAAGTGATTTTCTTTTTTATATAGGGTGTTGGGCTAGTATTTTTGTTTGTTACTATTTATTCATTCATGAATCACATTCTCAGAAAGTAGGCCGTCCCAGGTAGGATTCGAACCCACGACTTTTGGATTAGAAGTCCAACGTGCTGGCCATTGCACTATAGGGACACAACGAGCGATTTTCCTTTTTATGTATGGTGTTGAACTATTAGTTTTATTACTATTCATTCAGAAATTAATGAATTAATACTTGAAAAAACTGCATTAACATCAAGTGCCATCCACTAAAAGTTTTAAAAAATGTATTTGAGCTTGAGTGGATGAATGAAAAGTATTTTATTAATGATTGAAAATTTGAATAAGATACATATATATATATATATATATATATGTATATATAGAGAGAGAGAGAGAAAGAGAGAGAGAACTAACAGTAGGAATTGAAAAATATATAATGCTTTTTGTCAAGTGAACAATGATATAATGATGATCAATGAGTTGTTTTCTATGTATATGTTCGTTATTTTGCTATAAAGAAATGATATATCTTTTCTCTTAGTTTTTGTCTCGGTGGAGGTTTTCTCCTTTGGGACCGGCTAACAGCTCGAAGTATTAAAGGTGAACTCAGTCTCTTTGCGAAGTAAATAACCAAAAACACATTTAGGGACGGAGAAAAAATGACGCCAAATTGCTCCAATCGGTCGTTTTTCTCTATTAGACTTCTATCCAACACGACGACGATAATTCGCCAAATTAGCGATAAATAAAGATATAGACTACAATAAAGTCCAACTATTTAATGTTTCATTATTTGATATTTACGCTTACGCTAGCTTTTGGTATTTCGGCATGATTTTTATTGTGCGTTTGATTTTTGGCTAGCTCTTATTTCGAGAGAACTGTATAAAACTGATACTCTACTCTTGTTTTAATGTAACTGGTTTATGATCTTAACTCACAAGAAATCACTGTCATTTCGTGTCCCAACATCTTTCATTGTTTCCAATAAAGTATTCAGTATTTATGCGAGACTTACAAACCAATCAGTCTAGGAACTCAGTCCTTTTAATATTAAAAGTAGAGATTTATAGAAGACGAAAATAAAAAAAAATGGTACTTATGTATTATACCGTCGACCAATTGCGTTAAATCAAAAGACGTCGTCAAATACTACGATATGCAATCAACAGTGGATACCGTTCCTGCGCACGTTCGAAAAAAATATTTTAGTAGTAATAACGATGACAGCATTTAACGATCCGTTTTGAATTGGCGATTGCTTTTCATTTGGTGAAATTTGTCGACAATATAGCACAAAATTAAGAAAAGAAATGATATAACTAAGAGAAACCAGATTCGCAAACTGCAACTAAAGTTAAATCCAAATTCAAACTTGGCGTGTTGTTATCAGTGATCATTCAATAGAAATGCAATATAATTTATTCATTGCCTCAACTCAGACAATCCCTTCAGTAGTCTTTTCGACTGGTCTAATAACCTGGAATGTCTATTTTTAATTGCTTAGTAAGAAAGCTTATAAAGAAATCTTCAATTTCTTTTTTCAAGTTCTTGCATATAATAATTTCGGAAAATGATCGTGTAAGCACTAGAAGAAATGGAACTGTTGTAACTGAATAAAATTATGCAAAATAATTTAATAAAATAATATCAACCTATATATAAATAATAACGTCCTATTTGTATTACAATAACTTGAGTTTTTCACCATAGCTATTCATCTAAACTTAACAAACAAAAGAAAACATTTCTTATTAATGGGTTAAAATGTGATTCACACAAATAATATAATACTCTTACTAAATCCGATTAGAAATTTTGTAACACATTCTGTTCACAAGAACTTCGAAATGTGATCGACAATGTAAAGTATTATTTTTGGCAATATACATGGTATCATACAGTATGAAACTCCTTAAAGAATTACATTAATCGTGAGGCAAGTCTTAACGATCACACATCAAGAGTAAATATTCCTGAGGCGTTGATTTAACAGGATAAACAGAGAGCTGCCCAAAAATCAATTCAGAATTTCGCAGTTCGTTAAGGGAAAAGTGGGGAAGTTTCCTGTTTTGCCTTTGGGGCACCTTTTCACTCATATAACGTGACAATTTTAGTTTCAGAAATTCTAAGACACTTTCAGTTATCAAATAATAATGCTTCAGACACCATGCTTCATGTAAGGAATTAATTATACTTGAACCAGTTTTCTTCTCTATAAAATTTCTGCATCATTTATGTAAAAAGGCTTTTTAAACTATACATTTTCTAATCGTCAATAGGAAATTTAATGAGATGATTGACTGAATGGGATTAATGTAACACTCTAAAGCAGTTATACTCAACCTGTGGCCCACTATGCCATTTTGAGGGGCCCGGTCATGGCCCATTACTCTGAAATATTTGGTGGAAAATTCTTTGTTAAGAAATTAAATATATCAATTTTGATTTTTGCAGTCGATGTCGTATGGGTGCGATTTGATATTTTTTTCTGATAATAGACAACAGTGGAATAGCAGCCATTTTATGAGTGGAACTAATTTTTAACTAACTTCCGTATCTTGCAAGCGAAAAATATTCAAAGAAAATAGATCGTTTCAAGACGATTGGGAAGTTGACTATTTTGTAGTGAAAACCAAGCATGGATCCGTAATTGTTTGATTTGTCTCACGACAGTGTTCTATTAAAAAAATACCAATAAATAGGAATCGTTCAATGACATTTTTTCTAGAAGATCTGTTTCAAGAGGTGATTTATAGGCTTTCTCTTGAATAATCTTTACAACAGCAAAAAGTATTTTGTCAGTGGTAATGTCTCAGTGGTAACAAAGGCACCAAATGAAATTTGTTATATTATTGGTAATCATGAAACCGTCTACTGATACAGAAATTGTGAAGGGGTGATTCTTAAATGCTTCCAATTTAAAAATATTCAGTGAAAAAATAAATAAAAAATATATAAAAAATAACAATTAAAAAAAGCAAAATAGGAATTTTAATATTTTGACCAATTTTCCACGTTTTAAATTTTCTATATTATCTTGGTCTTAAAGCATTTATCTTCCCCCCTCCTCTATTAATTCTCATGTTGAGACCCGCGTGAAATAGCCATCAAAAAAGCTAACATATGCATGGGGCTCGGCAGAAGAAATGGTTTAGTATCCCTGCTCTAAAGCAATAGGAGAGCAATTGTTGCTGGATCTCGTTTTATTTTCAACCTTAGTTAAAAGACCAGTACGACATCTGAGCTTGCACTCCATTCTCCAAACATCCAAACTACGTTAACAGGAGTACTTTCGGCCATGACAGATTTAATATGCATTAACTCTTCTATACGGTGGGTCTTCAGCGGTATCGGGACTCAAATTTCCGACACGCCACACATGAGTTCGGAGCTATGACTACCCAACTACCAAATTTAAATAATAAGTCACGGAGCCAAATCATTCAGTCACCTGTACGGTGATCAAAACTGCGACTAATGACCGACATAAAACTAACCTCGTGCCACGATGAATTTTATGGGCCTCGATCTGAAACAACAACAGTAACAACAAATAATAAGTTACTCGAAATAGCAGAAATGAAGAACTTTCAGAATAATTTTACTTGTATTTAAACTAAAATATATTTCTTCTCATATTCAACGGATCAATTATTAACTTCAAAAACCAGGGCTTTCATTTTCATAACGTTTTCGCTGAAAAGTAAGAAATCAATTAAAAAGCTTTAATTAACCGAACAAACAATCCAATTCAAGACCGAAATTTACACAGCTGGTTAATTAGTACATTTCTAAAAGCATTTCCAGCATTGATAAAAAAAGTTAATGAATTATAACATAAATTTTCCACTGAAATTATTAAAGGGCTACTTTTACTTTTTAAAAACACATCAGTAACTTCAGTACTCATGAAAACTTTTCAGGATTTTTTTAAACGAAAAGACATTTTTATTTACATTCTATGCAAACAAGAAAATAATAACTGCTTCCACTTCATTAATTACTTTGAAGAACGAATCAGATTTTAAAATCTATTACCGTTTCTCGCTTTTGTTTCTTTAAATAAATAATTAGTCAGTTTTTAATTAAAGATTTGAATAAGTATATCCATTATTTATCACACTCATTATTAACTTCATATATTTCTACGAATTCCTAAGTAATACTGACTTTTATAATTTTTATGATGATTTTAACTATTACTTCTAGCTGAGTTTAACATAGTATAAAATAGTATGAGCCTAATTACCCAATTGTATCAATATTTGTTGAAAACTATAATGAAGGTATAAACTTTTATTTCCAGTTATGTTCCCACTTAGAATTCTAATTTGTATTATTTTCTGCTTTGAAATTTTTCTATTCTTTTTTTGAAACCTGTAATGTATCTCTTAAATGAAAATGTTTATATATATATATACATCTCTGACTTGTAAATAAAAATATTACTCAATGAATTACTATACAGTTTGTATTATGGGGCAGTGGAAATCCAATATCAAGAAGAATTAATTAGCAAAAGCTGTGTAAAATGCAAGGTAAAAGTATTTCACTGAGTCCCATGAATCAGTGTTCTCCAGCCTTTTAATCGTCGTGGACCGATCAACGTTTGATAACTTTAACGCGTCCCACTGAAGACGGGGAGGGGCTTTGATTGGTTACATTTCAGACAGTTTTGATTTAATAATTCTAATTTATTTAAACATTGTGATGTTCCTCCCCTTGGAAGTACATCTCTCGAAGTATCAGCGTGAGCTAGAGGTGTAGGATTAGCGAAATAATCTTAACAAACATTAATCTTAATATGACTTTATTAAGATATTCAACTTAAACCTTTAACAAATTCAATTATAATAATTAATATGAGAGAATCTACGATGAGGCAATACGCAACACACAATATATATATTTATAATAAGACCTAATCCAATTCAGACCAATATCAATAAGCGAACCGCCTAATTCTCGATTCTAATATTAAGTAATCAATCCTACCTTATTATAGCTTGTAGTAGCTCTTGTCTTTATATGCAATGGGATGCAACTGTACGGCTTCCTTCTAATCGAGCACCAATATTTGTATCCACGTCACATAGAACTCATTCAAACTTGAAACACGAACTGTAGTAACCATCAACTGCCACAAC